TGGTTCCTCCTGCTGACCCTAGTCACTGCAGGACACAGTAGTGGCATAGAGGTCAGCAGGAGGAACCACAGCGACCAGAAGGGAACATGCTTTTACACATATCCATGAGTATCGCTGCGGATAGCTCTGCTACATAGTAAGGTTTTAGCAAATGGGCCACTGGACAGGTAAGTATAATGCTGTTTTTTTCAAAGGGTACTGCCATTATTTTGTTTACCCCCTGACAGCATCACTTTAAGCTAACCCTAAAATGTAATCCTTAATATACAACTGAAGGCTCCTGTACGAAAGTCTAAACAAGTACTTACTGTTACTATGTGATACACAATCATCATAAAGTAAAAAACATCCTTTACCTTCCGCGACTTCCTCTTATTTTTTAGAGGCGGCCATAGTTATACTTTACCACTTAAACTGGTACCGTGTGAAATACAGAGGCTGACATTGCTGATTTCTCTGCCATTGGTAAGTTAGTGATTTCTCCTCCTGATCCTGCTTCTTTAAAAGACACACTAATACACACACACTTTTTGTGTCACATATATCCAGATGAACTTCCATCTGTACTGAATATCAGTGAGTATTAATATACTATAGTCTACTCATCAACCAGTTGCACAAAGAGCCCCAGTAATTTGAAACAACCAGCTGTGTTACAGCCCTTACCAGACGCAATACTAAAGTTTATGTGGCGTTTCCGATGAAAAAGCAGACTGTAATATTAACATATCGTGTTATATGCACTTCTGTAGATGAGAAATGCCACTTTAAGGTAAAAAGATGCTGCTAAGTACCATAAAAACAAATTTTACCCAGAGGGCATGCGACTGCAAAGGATCTGTTCTGATCCCTCTTCTCCAGGATGAGGAGTGTGATTACAAAGGAGGCATCTGCTCAGTCCCACGATGTAGATGCAGGCAGAAAATTATTGAGGGAATATGGCTGCCCCCCTACTACTGTACACAGAAGTAATGTTTGAAACCATTACCCCAGATTGATAAGATTATTCACACTCCTTTTAGGTAACCTGAAAACTGTCTGTCTTTAGTACAGCTGCAGTATTTGCTTGATACCATAATTAGCACATTAATTTCACTGGCTGAAGTTGTTCTACAGTAATATATGGGTGGTCACTTGGTCTTTAGAAGTGCAGATAGGAGGCCATCATCCTGATCCGAGCCTCTCTACCAAGTATGTAATTGACCTGATGTGTCGTTAAAGTGACAGTATCTTCCACTCTAATGGAGTGGGCCTTCTAGGTATGAGGGAGCATGAGACATGCTTGGGTCTCAGTAGCTAATTGCCAGGGTCAAGCACCTTTTTTTATGTTGGAGTAGGCATTGATGTCATCGACTCGGGCAAGGTTCAGCACCAGCTTCCATATTTCTGTCCTCACAGCTTCACTTTGGCAATATGTATTTCTTTATTCAAAAGTATTGGGACACCCCACTAAATCATTGGATTCAGGTGTTCAGTGAAATTTCCTTGCTACTAAATATTCCACGGTCACCTGTTAGTGGTATTATAACAAAGTGGAAGAAACTGGGAACAGCAGCAACTGAGCCACGATGTGGTAGGCCACGTAAAATGACAGAGCAGGGTCAGCACAAGCGGACAGAAGTCGCCAACTGTCTGCAGAGTCAATAGCTACAGACCTCCAAACTTGGTGTGGCCTTCAGATTGGCACAACAGTGTGTAGAGAGCTTCATAGTTTGGGTTTCCATGGCCGAGCAGCTGCATCCAAGCCTTACATCACCAAGTGCAATGCAAAGCATCAGATGCAGTGGTGTAAAGCACGCCGCCACTGGACTCTAGAGAAGTGGAGACGTGTTCTCTGAAGTGATGAATCACGGCTCTCTGTCTGGCAATCCGATGGACGTGTCTGGGTTTGACTGTTGCCAGGAGAACGGTACTTGCCTGACTACATTGTGCCAAGTGTAAAGTTTGGTGGAGGGGGGATTATGGCGTGGGGTTGTTTTTCAGGGGTGGGCTTGGCCCCTTAGTTCCAGTGAAGGGAACTCTTAAGGCATCAGCATACCAAGACATTTTGGACAATTTCATGCTCCCAACTTTGTGGGAACAGTTTGGGGATGGCCCCTCCCTGTTCCAACATTACCGCACACCAGTGCACAAAGCAAGGTCCATAAAGACATGGATGAGCGAGTTTGGGGTGGAGGAACCATACTGGCCTGCGCAGAATCCTGACCTCAACCCCATAGAACACCTTTGGGATGAATTAGAGCGGAGACTGCGAGCTAGGCCTTCTCGTCCAGCATCAGTACACAACCTCACAAATGCGCTTCTGGAAGAATGGTCAAACATTCCCATAGACCATCTTTGAAGGTAATTGCTGTAATTTTCAAAGAATTTGGAAAAAAACTACATGTGGCTCGCCACCAAATCACTTCCCTTCCTGCTTTTTCAAACCAGAGCTGAAAATTGCCACATAAAATTTGCTGTAGGTGAACATTTATCTTGTTAACTCCTGTGCCTACAGGTCAAGTATTGAGAGACTCCAGGTCCATGTGTTTTTTTTATTTGAATGTCTTATGATGATATACTACATTTTTCAAATAAAGTTTATGTAATTTCCCTTAAATTGCATCACAGTCATTCATTTAATGTTGGCAGCCGGTCATTTTTCATGTTTACAAATGCACACATGAAACTTTCAGATATAGTTGGTAAAGTCCAGAGAATGAGTAATAGTCTTTATTTGATATAGGTTGAGTGTGTAAAATGGATTGGAACAGTCAGTGTGCTCAGACAATGTTGTATTGATCTAACAGAATGTATTCTCCGTAGGAACAAATATGGAAGGGTTACTGTACTACAAACTGAAAAGACCTGCAACTGAGTGTACTGCAGAATCAAGGCATTGTCGCAATGAATGGTGTGCCAGTTCCAGACGAGTGTTATATGTGTTCAGCATGTGAAAAGCTACATGTGGGCAATATAAAAAAATATAAAACATGGGTTCATTTAAAACTTCACTAGGGATTGTTTGATCCAACGTAGAATCATGCCCCTTACTGTTACTTTCCTGGGGTCTTGCGTCCTAATTATCCAGATAGTGTCGCTTAGCACTTCTTTATCTATTCATGTAGACTACAACCGGTTTCCATAAGAACAGCATGAGTAAGGAAAGTAGGGCAAACACTGCAGTACTCTCTCAACTACTACCAAGCAGCTCCTTAAAAGAAGGGGACCCACCACCATCAGAGAAAGAGAGCAGTCAACAACCAATCCTATTTAAGCATTATAAGGAACTCCAAAAGAGAACACCAGCTGCGAACTGATCACAAGATTCCAGAAAAGGATACAACAATTTAACCTCAAATTTTAATACTGATTTAAAATGACAAAATTAGATGAATGTTTCACGAATGCTCAGTATTCACAGACCAGCTTGGATAAAAAATAGACTGCCCAGTCCTGCTTCAGCAAAGCTGACTAAATGTCACATTTTGATAAAATGGCTTTCACCAAACCAACATAGAAAACGCCAACAACAAAAAATAGGATTTTTGACTTACAAGTAAAATCCCTTTTTGGAGTACAGTACAGGACACAGGCAGATTCAGAAGATTGGGTAATATGCAGGGATCATTAGGTGATCGGACATGGGCCAGGGTTGTGAGGACCCTCATATAACACCTCCCTCTCCAGGAAAGCCTGTTTTGTTTTTTTTTACAACCAATTGTGAGACATCCACAAGGACTAACTGTTGATCCAGCCCTAAGACGCAAACTAGGCAAAAAAGCCGTCCCGGAGTGTACACCTTATGAGAGGTGGGCTTCCTGGCTCGCCAAGAGGGTGGGAATGAGTCTGACAGACCTCTATCCCTCAGGACCTGAGCTTCAACTGTCAGGCAAACAAAGCCTGGAACTAAGAAGCAGGATGAAACATTGGACCTTTAGAAAGAAGGTCCTGGCAGTGACCATAAAGAGTTTGCCTGCATCCCGAGGATGTCCGCATACCCCACTGATCTGGGCCAGTTTGGAGCCACAAGAATCACTGGAATGCCCTCCACCTCAATCCTGTGGGTGAAATGAGGAAGAGTCCTTACCAGAGGCAAGGCATAGATCAGGGAGAAGTGATTCCACTGTGAATGCTTTTGGGTTCCTAGACCGGCATACAAACCTGTCCAGTATGTTGTTTAGTCTGGACACCAACAAATCTACATGTAGCGTCCCCCAGTAGCCGCAGATCTCCTGAAAGTCCTCAGGGGTGTATAAACCATTCTTGTGAGTCCAGCCTCTGTCTGCTTAGGAAATCCATCTGCCAATTGTCCACTCCTGGATTGTGCACAGTGGACAAGACTGAAATATGACGTTCTGCTCAAGACAAGATCAGATCCGCCTCCTTTTGCGCAGTGCGGCTTCTGCTTCCTCCTTGAGGGTAATATAAGCCATAGCTGCAGGGTTGTTGAACTAAACCCTGATAAATAGCCCCTGAAGTAGAACTGTCTAATGCAGAAGGAAAAGGTGAATCTCAGTTTCAGTACATTGATGGGTTGTTTGGATTCTCTAGTTGACCAGGTGCCACCATCGATGTCTCAAGAACATGTCCCCTCCCCAGCCTAAAAGGATTACATTACTGGATCGGAAGTCCACCACTCAAGTGAGACCCTTGCTTCAAGTGACAGACACATTGGGCGGTCTACAGAAGTCTCTTTGTCCCACGCTGCCAGAATGCTCAGTTGTACTAGCCTGTAGTGGAACTGAGCGGGATCAGGTGTCTGACGCGACATTACAGGCTGGATCCATGGCTTCAGTCCAGCTTAGTCCAGATATGGTCCCTGAAGCTGCTGCCATGGTAGCTTCAGGATTTGGAAAAATGCAGAAGAGTATCAATTAGCTAACCAGACAATCACACATCTCCCTCAGTAGAGAGGAGACATCCATCACCTAAGGACACCAGCAAAAAGGCTAGAGATTTCCTGGAGAGGGAAGGGTTATATGTGGGTGGTCACAGCTCTGGCCAGGGTCCAATCACCTAAAGTTACCTGCATATTACCCAGTCGTCTCTGAATCTGCCTGTGTTCTGTATTGTACTATCAAGAAATAGGATTAAAGCAATAAGAGAGGCAACAGAATCATAAAAAAGGTGAAAACATTGGAAATTTCAAGAAAACAACAAAGAAACATTTCCCATATGGGTTTCCTTTACATTTTGGTTCCTTTACAAAAATAGAAACTGGAGAATTTCATTTAAATGTATACAACGTTGAGTGTATTTTACATTAATATTAAATAAGCCCATAAGAGGTAAAGTGCATTTAGATTGAGGGAAGCTCAGGAACAAAAGGACTATTTCTTAAGCTAGGCTGAAGCCCTCATAATTGTCTATGGCTTGATTGAGTCTTTTCCTGAGGGTTTCTTTGCTGCTGTACTTGGGCAGGTCCAGCAGGTTGTAGCATGTGTGAGCCACAGGCAAGAAGTCTTCACTGCTGGATGTAGGCTGGATGATGATATGTAGGCTGGACATGCCATAGATAGGGATACGGTCACTGCCGGTGAGAAACACTGAAAATACAACAGTTCAGACTTAAATGGATCACATTTACAGAATTTCAGAACTAAAATCAGGTTTTGTTTCAATATACTGTGTACAAACCAGTTACACGACCTAATACTGTCAATATAGAGCTGTCCTTAATGACAGCATGGTGATAGGAACAGCCAAAGCATTTTAAAAAGCTACACTGATCTAGACATAGCAAGCTCAGACAAGCTCTTCCCCTCTCACTATTCTGTCTGGCTGCAGGAGAAAAGCGACATATTCCATACTTCTGGGTATGACAAGCATGCGACTTACTCCACTTGCTCCCACAGGACAGCACTGCCGCCTAGCGAATGGTCACTCAGGTACCCAGAGCCGTAATAAAGGTGGCAGAGAGAGAGTCCTCAATACTGTGTAAACATCAAATTGCAACTGAGATCTTGTAGGACTTCTACCCCTCTCTCTTGTGGGAAAACTTAGAGGCTTGCGCCTACGGACCAACATTAAGCCCTCATTCACACGACAAACAACAGGCCTGTACAGATCCATGCTGCGTGTACAGCCATATCAGGCCGCTCCCGGGAAGGACAGGTGCTGTGTGTAATTTGACGCAGCAGCCTGCCCTTCTCTATGGGAGTAGGTGGCTGTACGCCGCACTACGCTCACCCAAACTGCATGTCCATGCGGGTGCGGGTGTCCCTGCTCGGACGCAGTCAGGATCCATCCTGTTAGCGTATGAGTACGGACACCCGCACGGACGTGCAGTTCGGGTGAGCGTAGGGCGGCGTACGACCACCTACTCCCATAGAGAAGAACAGGCTGCTGCGTCAAATTACACGCAGCACCAGTCCTTTCCGGGAGCGGCCCAATACGGCCGTGCACGCAGTACGGCTGTTACTTGTGTGAATGAGGGCTAAAAGTGTGTGTAAACCCCAACAATAAGCTTCTGTTATTTGCTACCTTTTGGTCTGTTAAATACAGTAAACTCTCAGATACCCGGTATTCAACTATCCAGAACTCTTATCCAACCAGAAAAAAAAAATCCCCTGTCTTAATTTGTTTTAAGTGTGTCTATTTGGCTTTGAGTACTGCATTTCAATATTAATATGAAGTCAATACAGAGTTTATGCTATGATAGGGTATAGTATGGGGTATGGCATTAGTTGGACATATTTTAATAGTAACTCTCAAGCAACCAGAAACTACATTTATCTGAAATCTACCAATCACTGTGGATGCCGGGGAGTTTACTGTATACAGATAAAACTGTTTTGGTATACCTGGTTCAATAAGTGCAAAAAAATGACTGTTTGTACTACAACCGTTATAGTTATACAAGCCCTGCAGCATAGATACTATTTTACTTTACAGGCAGATTATTTATTGCATTCCTTTTAGGTTAACGGCTATTTCAGGCTGGAGAGAGGCTGGCTGGATTTGGCAATATGCCATCTCCCCGTCATCCAACACATCACCTTTGTTTAAAGGAGAACTATGGGGTCAAGGGTTTTCCCCATAGTTCTCCTTAGGGTAACGGGAGGACACAAACTAGCGTCCTCCCGTCACCCTAAGCACAGTATACTGAGACGCCGCAGCCGGAGCGGATCCCGACATCGATGTCAAGATCCGCCCAGCTGCGTGAGTGACAGCTAGCTCTGCCTATCTAGAGGCAGAGCCAGCTGTACCCGCCCCCTCCCCCGTCCGTTCCGCCAGTCAGCGCTGGTGGATCGGAGCGGGGAGAGGGGAATCCATCCCTTCCCCTGTCACGGCAGAGAGCCGTGACAGGATCGAGAAGGGAGCGAACACCGACATGTGTTCGCTCACTTCCCGATCTACTGAGCCGACCTGTGACAGTCTCATTGTCACAGGTCGGCTAGAACTATGAGGTGAGTGAAAAGCACTCACCTCATAGTTCTCCTTTAAAAGATCTTAATTCTTGGAACTTTTACCAACTTTTCTGTAAAATCTGCTAAAAGCACTCCTATATATGCTAGAAGTATGGATTCTTTAAATATACAAACACTCTATATCCAGTATACCTGCACAATTGCTTACAAGAAAAAGACATTTAAAAAAACCTACACAGAAACTTCTTCTTTTTCTCCAGAGGGAATTCATGGAATGTTTCCCAGAACATTTTCACAGTTGGGTGCTCTGCAGAGAAGTCATCCTTGTAGATCGCATTCTAGAAAAAAATAACAACACATAAAGCTTGGACTTTAGCCTTTCAATGGGATATTTGGTATTGGTGAATTTCAATATGACACCTTTTATGAAGGTCTACATACTGTAATAATACTCAGTGATTACTAAGAGTTTGTTTACACTAGCCTGCAGTGCTTTCCTGTGCAGGCTACTGTCCAGGCAGCAGGGGGGGTAGTGCACAGAACTGCAAATTGGTACAGTCGCAGCAAATGCTGAGGCAAGCGTCAGTGCAGTGGCAGCAAGTGCAGGGGCAGGCTTTGGTGAAGTGGCAAATTGGGGCATGTGTGAGAGGTAGTGAGAGCAGGGGTAGAAGATGGGGGTTAAGCACAGTATTGGGAGTGGAGGTTGGTTGGTTGGTGTGATGCAGACGGAAGAGGATGGAGGTCAGCTGCGGTGGTTAGAGTGCGCGGGAGTGGGAGGTTGAGTGAAGGTACAGTGGTGGGGAAGTTTCAATCATGTTGGTGAGAAGGGAAGAGCAGGCACAGTGGTGACAGGGAAAAGGAGAGGGGAGTGTGGTTGCAGGCACTGTGGTGAGTGGTACCTCTGCAGGTAGCTATCAGATATAATTCCAGATGCAGTCCTCCAGGCCAAGGGGAGAGGCTGGGTATGTGATGGTGTGAGCTGCAAGGGCAGAAATTAAGCCACAGCAGAAGCCAGGGGGTAGGGAGGTGGTGTGAGCTGGCAGGCCAGAGATTAAGTCACAGCAAAAGCCAGGGGGTAGGGAGGTGGTGTGAGCTGCCAGGCCAGAGAGAGGCCCAGGGCTGCCCCCTTCAGTGCCTGTAGGCTTTTTTTTATTCTCGGCGTCCTGCTTTAATCGCACGGTACTATGTTATTAACGCACTGTACTAGTGTGAACGAACCCTCAAAAACACTGACAGACACAATCTTCTGACCTTATGCGAACTGGAGTGGATCCGCAGCCTGGGGTCCAGTGTGGGATGCTGTGCTGTGACAGAGCTCCATCCATATGTGCATTGCTCGTACAGCTCCCTTGTGATGTCACTCTGGTCCAAGCACCTCTACAGGACACATGAGGGAGCTGTAACCAATGAATGTATGGATAGAGCTCCCTTCTCAAGCTGACACTTGATGCCGGGCAGCATATTTTGAATGGCTCTTTGGTGTGAGAACTGACAGTGTTGCGCTAGGGGGAGGCAAAGGAGCCTCTCACCTAGAAAAGTGGAAGGCATGCAGTGACCCACTGAACACGGGGTCGTGACCCACTTTTGGGTCAGGACCCACCAGTTGAGAACCAAGGGAATAAACCTTTATTTTATTATTTTGAACATGCAATCTCTATATCAGGCTTGAACTATGGCTGAAGTAAAATATCATTTTACTTCCTGTATCCTTCTTTTACAATTATAAGATACATAAATACTTGCTTCTGCATGTAAGTTTGTTTTGTATGGTGTGTTGTCGTCAAAACACCTCTATGATTCTTATCTTGACCTCAGTTTCAAGGATTGATGTTTGAGAAGCCTAGCATCAGAAGTTACCCATGATGCCCCAGTGTCCCGTATCTTCATGCTCACCTCTTCCAGTTCCTGCCAGTTATAGTTGCTGCTCCCAACAACCATGGCCCTTAGTTCAGATGGCTGGAACAGCTCTAGCACCTTCCCGCCACAGACTTTAAGGAATCCCGTAGAGAATGCCTCATACCATTCCTGCACTGACTGGTTAAAGACATAGTTGACATAAGCGTCAACAAACTCCTGCCTAGAAATGCAGAGGAAAAAAAAACAGATTTAAAATATTGTACAAAATGACAGGAAATATAAAACTTTAAATGAAGACTTCTTCAAACATGTAGCGGTGTCTGCTCAGCGTGGACCTGAAGGTGACAAGGATGGAACATGCCTGGGCATGGCTGTTTATAGTCTCCATAAGAAGCCCATGTGACAAGGTCAGGAAAGCAATTGTGACAATGGGACAAAGCCTCGTCTCCCCAGGACAAGACGTACAAGGACCTTCCTTGCAGGATCTATAGGTATTATTATCATGAAAGCTATAGACTAAAACTAAAGAAAATTACTTTTGAAAATGACATTATGTTAAAATGCATGTAAGATGTTTGGGATTGGGCTGGCATCTACTTTAACCCTTTCGCTGCCTAGGCGATTTTTGCACATGTCATAATCCACATTTTTTTAGCCTGAAATTTACTTAAAACACCCAAACATTATATATTTTCCTGAAAGCAGACATCCCATATAATACAATGGTGGCAGTTGCAAATCTGTACATTGCACGATATTAGTGCAACTCTATCAAATCCAATAGCATAGTAAAAACTTAAGTTAATTTTAGTTCCCAAAAACACAATATATTATCCAATTTTTTTGTAAGATATAAAAGATGAGGCCACGAAGGGTACATAGTTATCCAACGTGTCCAGCTTAAAAATTGCATGCGTCCATAAAACGGCAACAAAATACTGTACCCCAAATTGTTCATAGGCAACGGTTTAAAAAAACAAAAACCTTACAGGTCATCAGTTTAGAGCAGGGGTCCAAAACTCAATTCTCTCGGGGGCCACTCGACAATTTTTTTTTTCCCAATGGGGGCCTTTTGTCAAATTTCACACATAGATTATGCATCTTTGCCTGCGATTAGGGATTCCTGCATCAGAAACTTGTGTTTTCCTGCAGCAGGAATCACTAATCTGGTGTTTACAAGAGGCCGCTATCACCCATTCAAGTTAATGATCAGGTGACATCAGTTGCATGTAAACACCAGCACACCGCATGCGATATGATTACATGCAACACTCTCCCTGGATGCACAGTCATTGCGTCCAGAGAGAGCGATTGATTCCTAACAGAATGTAATCATATCGCGTATCATTACATGTGTGGGTGACAGTTACCACTTGTAAACACCAGATCAGGGATCCCTGCTGCAGGAAAACGCAAGTTCCTGATGCAGGAATCCCTAATCGCATGTAAAGATATGGGTGTGAATGGAGCCTAATACACTTCTACTGCCCCCCCATACACATAAAAAATACTACCCCATACACAAATAAAATAATACACTCCTCCCACACAGATAAAAAAAACAAAAAAAAAACTACCCCTGCACATATAAAATAATACACCCCTCCCCCCATACACAAAAAACTACCCATGTAAATATAAAATAATACCCCCACATAAATAAAATATTATAATTCCCCGTTGTCGCCCCCCCACATGTATAATAAAATACAGAGCCCCCTCTCCTGCTTACCTTTTTGCAGGGAGGAGGCAAGATCGCTGGTGATTGATTAGCAAGGTCTGCTGCAGACCTCACTAATCAATCTGAGTGCTGGCACAGAAGCAGCTCTGCGGTCTGCATACGACAGAGATGCAGACCGTGTAGCTGCTACCGCAAGTTGGATACGCCAGACTTGTGAGCTGGCTGGGGCTACATCTTACTGGGCCAGTACTTTGAGACCACTGGTTTAGAGAGATCTGTGAATCCCTAGAATTACTGCTCTCCCTCTGGCGAACGTGGCGATACCCAACATCTGTATCGCAATCATCGTTTTTGTATGTAGGCACACCTGAAGCATGTTTACGGTAATATGTGCGCACTCACGGGGACGGGGTGTCATTAGTGGCCAATTAGACCCCTAGTGTCACCTTTCAACTCCAAAGAAGCTATTAGAGCGCAGATTGCGCTCCATTAGCTTCTTCCCCGGTTTCTGCCACCAGGGAATGGCAGCTGAGGGACCAGAAGCAATGCAATCAGCATTACTTCCGGCCCCATTCAGTGGGGAGGAGATCGGTAAACAGATGTCCACCGCTCTCCTTTCCTGCTTCCCGCCATCATCATTGATGTCGGTCCAGGGCTCGCCGAAGCGGCAGCGGAGCCAGGGAAGCAGGGCGAGTGTGTTACCAGCTTCTAGAAGCGATCTGGCAGCAGCTCAGTCACCACAATTGCTTTCAGTGTAAAGCTCACAGTCGGATTTACACATGTAAAATCACTGGTTTGAAGGAGCGGGCTGCTAGTGGCGTAAAAGATACATTGATGGCAGTGAAATGGTTAAAGTCAGTTGTGACCTGTAATAAAGCCTTGCTACAAAATTCTCACTATGCAGCTAGTCCTTGGGGTGGATTTGACAGCCTTTCCCAGTCATCTGTATTACCTGTACACACAATATTTCCAGATAACATACCTGTTGTCTTTCTTTACAGTCATTTTCTCTCCTCCAGGCACCAGGGGTTTCAGTTCAGTCAGGCCGTAACTTTCCCGACATATCTAAAAACACAAACATATAGGGGGGAATTTATCATAGCAATTGCGAGTGTTTGAACTTGCACGGAATATATTTGCACCAGATTTATGATGCTAGTGTAATGTTGTTGCTAAATGAGGTTTAATAGACTTCAGGAAAGAAGACTTAACTCCAGGCAAAAAGCTGAACTGTCACTTCTTGAAGAAGTGGTCACGGGGACTTCTTAAGTTGTGAGTGTTTTCTTAGGTGATGCTCCAGTTTGAGATAGCCCAGAACAAGTGCAGATCAAAACAGGTGCAAAAAACATGCAACTGAAAAAGTAGTGGAAGCTCTGATGAAAACAGGTGCAAAACACGTGCAGTTGGCAAAGTGGTGCAAGCTCAGGTGAAAACAGGGGCACATGTTGAAAGACAGATTTGCACATAAAAAAATGAACTAAGAGGCTAAAACTGTTGCAATTGCTTTGATAAATCCCCTACCCCCACCTTTTTGAAACCCCCCCCCCCCCCCCCCCCCCCGCACATTGAGTGCTTACAGAGAAAAATTTTCAAAAAAGCCAAAACCAAGCTTTCTTTTTTAGTTTTAGAAACAAAAAAACAACACAATGGTTAGAACACCCCTGGTCATGTTTTATTGCGGTCTGTTTTGAGACAGCAATAAAATGTACTTCACCTGTAATAAAGAAAACTAATACAGCCTCCACATTTAAGGATGGGTAAGCTGCAATACATGACATTTTTGTTCTTGGGTTTAAATTTACCGTATTTTTCGCTCCATAAGACGCACTTTTTTCCCCCCCAAAGGAGGGGGAAAAAGTGCCTGCGTCTTATGGAGCGAATCCCGACGCCCGAGACATGCAGTTTCGGGCGCCGGGCGAGTAGTAGGAGCCACTGCTCGTTTAATACGAGTGATCTAACGAGATCACTCGTATTAAAGCCGAGCAGGGGCGATCGAGTTCAGCAGCAGGAGCCACTGCTCGTTTAATACGAGTGATCTAATGAGATCACTCGTATTAAAACCGAGCAGCGGCGACGATCGAGATAACCATAGAGCAGACGAAGAATAGACGTTCTTCGCCTGCTCTGTGTCATCACTGAGACCGTGGCGCTGTAATCACAGCGCCACCTGTCTCAGCGGTCACTAACTGCAGCTTCTGTCACAGCTTCGGTCATAGAAGCTGTCACAGAAGCTACAGTCTCGAGTGCTCCATAAGGCGCGCCGGACCTCCCTGCGTCCTATGGTCCGGTGCGTCTTATGGACCGCAAAATACGGTACTTTAAGGATCAATTCACATGGAACACTAACAAATCGAAAGGTTTTAATGAGACATTGTGATCTGCCACCTGGCATGATCCTCCAGCAGCAATACCCTATTAATAGACACATCATCAGAAATCATCTTGTAAAATCAGTAGCATTATTATATTGTGATTCGCAACTTCGAGATCCTTACTGTGAAGTTAAGGCAGAAAGTTTCCTCAACATCTTCTCCAGGATAGTCTAGAAGATGTTGTAGGCTCCTAGAGGAATAATATAATGATTTTAATTCAAATAGAGTAAAAAGGGAGGGCTTAAGACTAAGAGTCAGGTGCACAGGGAGGTAACACAGCATTTCAAGACATGTTACAGCTGGGGGGAAAAAAAAAGATACAAAACAAATAAAGATAGTTTTGAATCTTTGAAAGCTTTCTTTTTCTGCTGTCATCTTCCCAGCACTCATGAAACAAAACAATGAAGACTAATTTTAAAAGGGAAATGTGCTGCCCAATGGTGTAGTAGTTAGCACTTCTGCCTTGCAGCACTGGGGGTTCCCAGTTCAAATCCCAGGACACTATCTGCAAGAAGTTTGCATGTTCTCCCTGTGCTTGTGTGGGTTTCCTCCGGGTACTCTGGAGTTTGGGAGGAAACCAAAGACATGCTGGAAGGTTAATTAGCTCCTATCTAAATTGGCCCTTATATTTATGCATGTGAGATAAGGACCTTAGATTGTAAGCTCCTTGAGGGCAAAGACTGATGTGAATGTGCACTATGTAAATTGTCAACGCTATATAGCTAAATACCTGTAATAATAAATAGGTGTAACTCAACTGCCTGTCATTTTTTTCCCATTTAGGAAGTTTGATTGGGACATCTTACTCTGAAAACCTCTTGCCATCCCACCTAACAGTACTGGTGCATAGAGGTTGTTGCAAGCTCTTTATTGCTTACAACAGAAATCAGTTGTGGCAGGGGCAACAGTTGCGGCAGGGGCATTTCCTGTCCTTTTGTGATGTGTAGCTGAGGGGTGGGGAATGCCCCCTGCCACAACTTCTTGGGCCGGGAAGAGGGTGTGTCAGTCACGTTTTGCGTGAGCTTGGACGAACTCAGCCGAACTGGGTTCGCATCATAACCCACACACTCCGATCTTAAGTACCCAGTTTCAACTCTCCGATAACTTGTTTATTTTTGAATGCCCATCTGTAAAGTTTTCTACACACGTGCATGCGTCGCATTGCTTTCTAACTTGCTACACATACCTTCCTTCTGTGGGTGACAACTCCTTGAGGTCCTCTAAACTTGCTGGAACATTCAGGAGCTTCTTATACAACACCAATGGGAAATGAAGATCAACTACTGTGAAATTATAGATGGCTAAACCACACATGATGCCAATCAGGTGGAACCAGTTGTGCTCTACAAAACACTAAAAAGGTAAAACAGCATGGTAAGAATCAACTGATAGAAAGTGGTTCACAGCACAATAATGAAGTAATGAGTTCAGTAGATGGAAAGACTACATTAAAAATGTATCCTTTGCCTCCACATTGGAAACATGGGAGTGCTAGGGGGGTTCAGCTTTAATGGAAATCATATATATTGTTTTTTTATCAGTGCAATAACCCAGAAAGTGTCTAATCACCTCCGAATGTCAATGCTGTTTAGGAGACCAAATTATGTTTATATAATATCATTATTTCATACTACAGGAGGCAAGGTGCCATTTTTTTAGCAGCAGGTGGAGCAGTTGGTGTAATAAGGAGTTACAGCTTGAAAAGCAGACAGTGATGTTTCCATAAAAGTTGAAAACATCTTTAAAAGGAGAACTATGGGGTCAGGGCTTTTCCCCATAGTTCTCCTAAGGGTCACGGGAGAACACAAATTAGTGTTCTCTCGTGACCCAAAGCTCAGTATTAGGCGAGCTACAGCTCGGAGTATACTGAGACGCCGCAGCCGAACGGATCCCGACATTACTGTCGAGATCCACCCAGCTGCGGGATTGACAGCTGGCTCTGCCTATCTGCTGCAAGCACTATACATCGTAAATTCGGCAGTACTTCCCCTGCCAGGGAGCCACAGGAACTGTGAACAGCCTACCATATAAGTCAATTGCTGTACAAGCTTGTAGATGGGTACTTCCATACATCCGTGCATGCATGGTAGTACATGTGTGTGCATGCACAGAAGCACCTGCATATAATCGCCTACAGCCACTGACTTATATAGGAGGCTGTACACAGCACCTTAAGCTATGTGGCTGGGGAAATACGGCTATATTTACATTGTGCAGGTGCTCATATGCATGAGCCCTAATATGCAATATATTTGTCACTTACTATGTCTGAAAACCAAAGCAGGTTGGATTCTGGATAGACTGTAAACATTCCATAGATGGGGTTCAGGAGTTCTTTGAGGAGCAACAGAAAGAATTCTTTACTAACTCCTCCATCATCCACAGCCTCTTCGCCATCAAATATCACCTGTGGGGATGAATCATGTAATGGTTAACCATGATGGCAGAAAGAAAAGGACAGTATGCAGAAAGTAACATGGAAATGATTTTTCAGTTACAGTAATACGTGAGGAAAAACTTTCCCTCCCAAAAAAAGGGGGCAATTTATTGTACTTACTGTGTAGATAATTTTAGAAAAGGCAGTTGAAAACATGGCTGTAAATTAAACTGCCAATACTTTTACACACAAGCCCCATTTCTGTAGTTTAAAATCGGTGATGAATGGAGCTGCACATTCACACGCATCACAACCCAGCCCTGCAGTGAACTTCAGCATTTACAAAGCTGAGCTGTGACTAGTGTACATGATGGATTTTTTATCATAGAAGTGACAGAAGACTGCCAAACATACACTGATGCCTGTGTCGGTGCTGCAGCTCCTGCTGAGGCAATGCAAAACATTCATAAAAAAGCCAATAAATCCGTGTATGGGATAGTGGTGCATTGCAAATATGACCAATGGTCCTCCTTTTCTCAAGCCAAGGAGAAATTGGCCTACTGACCCTATACAGCATCAGACCTTTCAAGGAGCACTTGAATACTACAACCCTGAACTTTACTGGTTACTACAGGCAACACCTCTATTTTTCCTTGTTTCATTTTTCCGAACACAATGGCACTATTGATATTTGCCGTTCTTTTCTATCAAGATGTATTTCAATGTTTTCCTACCTTTAAAGGCTTCTTTAAATCTATGTCAGAGTGGATACTCAGCTCCCTCAGGGCGTCAGCTACCAAGCTGGTCCTCCTTACGTGTAGCACCAGGAAGGGGTTCTTGGTCAGAATGGGCTCCAGAGACATCATTGTGAACACATTTTGTAGGTTAGCTCCATTCACTGCCACCTATGTATACAAGCAGACAAAACTATATTTATTTCCTGAATATCCCAATTATATTTGTGTAATGTCTATCTTTATGGTAGCCAATAAGATATACTGTATGGCTTAAGGGAGATTGAGGAAGAGGAATCCAGTTTACAGCATAGGACTTTATACCCTAAAATATTTGCCATTTATATCCCCCCACCTACTTGTTTGAACAGCACAGCTTATCAGAGCAGAGAAAGCGCCTATTGTATCACGGGGCACAAAGCCTTTTTTCCAGATTCATATACGAAGGTGAGAAGCCATTCACAGGTTCTCATTTTTTTAAATTCCCCTCCATAAGAAGAAGGAATATTTATTGAGTAACAACAATTACATGGAAAAGGAGATCATGAGTACAATCATAAGGACACATATGTATATGAATAAGTAGTACAATCTGTTGGATAACCAATATATAGACACACATAGCATATGAAACTAGAGCACAAAGCTGCTTTAAATAATAGGACTACTAAGATTGAAAGCATGCCCCAAGCTAACCCAATAAATGTTTATACAATGCTGTAATATTTATACCAGATAAAAAAGGAATATAATAGTACACAAAAGACTAAAAAAACTGCTTTAAAAAGAAATATCTGCATGCATATGTAGACTTTACATTAGGTACCTGCATCTGCAATTCAGCATCCGTCTGTAACATTTTGGTCTTGGCTTGAGCATCAAACACAAACGGATAAGAACAGAGGGTCACTGAATCCTGGGGAGAGACACACAGAGAAAATATGCACACATGACAAACAAACTGGCAAGGTAAGTAGGATAACAGTCTATAAAACGTAAACTAAACTAAGAAAAATTTTTTCAAGCCCAGTTTACACCAGTTTTCCTTAATTCTCAATAAATACAGCAATACGTTTACAAACCATCTAAAGAAGACACACATATAAAAGGTTTATTGTCAAGCTAAGTAGTGAAGTATAGATAAAAGCAGTGTTATGTTTAAGCCAGGCATAAATCAAATAAATTACAATGCTCCCTCAGCTGATAAAGAATATAATTCTCATTTTACTACGGTAGGTGATGATTTAATATGGAGTATTATTTGCCTTACTCCACAGTTTTCCTCCACACCGGTTCCAGGTATGAAGATCTTCCCACAGCAGTTTTTCTAGGGGAGTCTCCTCACCACCCCCCTTAGTGGCATCATCATGTACAATGCCGGACTAACAGCCACTACATTGTAAATGGTGACATTAGTAGTGGCCACCCATAATTCAGTGAGGGTGAGAAGAGGACCAAAGTGCCAGCTGACACAGGACTATGGAATAAGGCTAGTATTCCACTGTATTAGGCAATCCCTGAGTAAAACAAGCATTCTGTTCTTCATCAGCTGTGGGCACTGTTATTTATTTTAATTATGCCCAGATTTCTGCTTTAAACAAAAGTACCATGTAGATTCAGTGAGTGCATTTTTTTAAGTATTACAAAGTCTTTTACATTTTTATATGCATGATTTCCTAAATTTTTATCTTTTACGTATAGGGATTTGTAGATTAACCACCAGAGCATCACGGTGCAATTAGGCCTCATGCTTACGTGTGAATGCGTGACATTGTACAGTTTTACCACAATATGAAATAAAGGAAGGCTGTGAATGAGGAGAAGATGTTTGTGTAGAGGGGGATGTCAAAGACATTATGAGATCTCACTACATAAAACTTATCGAATATTTATTATTGGTATTTATGTAGCACCAACAATTTACGCAGCGCTTTACACACAGTGCACATTCACATCAATCTAAGGCTCTCAATGTATGCTTCTAAAGCGCACAGATACATTACCGAGATAATAAAGCATATTACCTGCATAATGGAAGCACGCACCTTCTGTGAAGATAAAAAAACAAAGAACAATAAAAACCCTCCATCCAGAAAATATTTTATTTGCATATAACAGGGCTGATATTTTTTTTTTAGACAACGGCTAATAAGATGGATATCTGGACATATCCGCAATTCTCCTATTTTATATTACATCCAGATGATTACTGTAGGAGATGTATGCAAAGAAAATAATTGCATGGTATTCCCAAAACAAAAAACTGACAAGCCAGTTTTGGGAACTCCAATGAATGTGGATGTTCCCCAAAAAGATAAGAAGCTAGAGTATTTTTAGAATATTAACATAAAGTGACAAATAATGAATATCACATGACCTAACAAAGATACACACAAGCAAGATATTAAGGATGGACTTTGGGCTAGTGTTGATGGGCAAATGCAATGTGCTTTCAAGTACATTGCATTTTAAATTGGTTTGAGACTCTTCTGAGATTATTTGGCATTCACTGACAGGTGCATTTGACTTCCTGATTTGCACTCGACTTTCTAAGCTGCATTAAACTGCTTCAAGAAGCTTTTGCATTCCCATTAACTTGTAATGGGAAAGAAGTTTTGGCATGAACAAAAGGCTGTCAACACAGGCCCTGAAGCCGGACAAACTAGTCACACATACCAGTCCTGCTTGGTTCAGGAACCACTTGAGGTAATCTTCTTGGATGTCCACCAAGCTTGATATCTCCGGGATATAGAACTGGTCATACTCCACGTGTCGCACCTTCACATTCACCTGGAATCAAAATAAAATCTTTGTAATAACTGAAATATACCTTCTGAAAAGGACAAAATCGCCTTTCATCAGAGAAATGGGACCTGCAGATTTGCTGCAGTTGGAGGATGAGAAAAATTGCACGTTTATTTATTCTCCTCTTCCTCTTTCCCTGGGGGTCCCCCAAGGATCTGTCCTTGGGCCCCTTCTATTCTCTATCTACACTTCTTCCAATACCATCTTTATGCCGATGACACCCAAATCTATCTCTCCACTCCTCAACTCACCCCCTTGGTCTCTACACGTATCTTAAATCTACCCAGTGACATCTCATCATGGATACCACACCACTACCTCAAACTCAAGCTGTCAAAAACTGAGCTTATAATTTTTCCTCCTCTCCGTGTTCCCTCCCCCAACTTCCCCATCACTATCAACAACACTACGATCAACCCCTCCCCTTGACTCTGAGCTCTCCTTTCAGCCCCACATCCAATCACTATCCAAATCGTGCCGACTCAACCTCCGTAACATTTCCAAAATACGCCCCTTTTTAACAAACGAAACCACTAAGCTTCTAATTCACTCCCTTGTAATCTCTCGTCTCGACTACTGTAACTCCCTCCTTGTTGGCCTACCACTAACCAGTCTATCCCCCTTCAGTCTATCATGAATGCTGCAGCCAGACTTATCCACCTTACCAACCGTGGAGTGTCTGCCTCCCCCCTCTGCCAATCCCTCCACTGGCTCCCACTTGCCCAACGAATAAAATTCTAAATACTAACAACAACATACAAAGCCATCTACAACTCCGCCCCAACCTACATCACTGACCTCATCTCAAAATATCACCCAAACCGTCCTCTCCGCTCCTCCCAAGACCTCATGCTCTCTAGCTCTCTCATTACCTCCTCCCATGCTCACCTCCGGGACTTCTCCAGAGTGCCCCCCATCCTCTGGAACTCCTTACCCCAATCTGTCCGCCTATCTCCTACGCTGCCCACCTTTAGGCGATCCTTAAAAACCCATCTCTTCAGGGAAGCTTACCTCATCTTAACACCTTGGCGCTATATAAATCCTGTATAATAATAATTCATACTAAAGAGGACCAGTCAGAAAAGTAGATAGATAAGAGTGGGAACAGCTGTGAGGTGATAGTAAAGCCCTACATTTCAGACCCAGAGAGTCATTCTCTCAATGTAATCTGCAGGGCTGTGTCTTCAGGAACAATGACAGCAGGAAAGCCTCCACCTTAGCTGCGCCTTGCCACCATAGAGCCTCAGACGGGGACCTCTGTTGTCGGTGTTGGCCTGGCCCTGATGGCATTGATTTGGAATAGCCATTGTTAAGTAATAAGTTCCTAATTAAAGCTGTGTCGTTTCACAATAAATAAGCTGCTGTGCACGGTAACTGATTCTTGCAGAATGCCGCTTTGTAATATTGTGAAAACCTGTAGGGAAATTCCATTTTCTCCCTCTGTTCTATAATCACCTTGTGTAGCTTTTCCAGCAGTCTGAGAGCAGCAGTGATGTAGCTTGTAAACAGCACAGGGATCAGCAAAGTCTTTCGTCCATTCAGAAGATAGACCACCGCTCCTTTATAAAGGTCAATTAATCTGAAGAAGTAGTTCGGGCAAACCTGGGACCACCAGTTATCTACGCAGATATAAAAAAATATGAATCAATATTATGTGAATTGTGTTTAACAGGTGACGTTACAGAAAAAAGCTGAAACAATACAAATCATAAAGACATCCATACAGCTTCTTTATATGAGCTGTGCAAAAATGTTAAAGCCCAACAGGGATACATTCCCGCACTTGCTGTTGTGACATGAAGGGATGGATTACCTCTCTAGTGTGGGAATAGAGACAACAAAACACTTTTTTCAGTAAAATATGTAATGTTTAGAACCCCTGGCTATGATTAATATCTGTGTCTTCCTTTAGTTGTATTGTTACAAGTACTAATAGTACTATCTACGAGTCTAGCCAATGCAAAAGTAACCAGGGCTGAGCTTTGACATAACTAGGGTAACCGTAAAAACAGGACTGTACTGAAAGGAAAGGAAGGGCCAGAAACAACAAATACTATTGCTGTCTATGTGGCCGGTGCACACTAAAGGTGCCCATACACCTGCCGATTATCGTACGATAATCGCAGGAAATCCCGCGATCGTACGATAATTGGCAGGTGTATGGAAGGCGTGCGACCGTTTCTACTGTGCGGTCGCACGTCTTTTGTCTTACGAACATGTTTGAAAATCCGCCGAGAATCGTACGATTTTCGGCCGGTTTGTGGCCTGCTCGTCAGACAAATGCCGCACGGGCTGGTGTGCACAAGCGCACACTGCCCTTCAGCATTGCAGTCATTGGAAGCCCGCCCCTCAAAGGGGCGGCCTTGCAATGATCGCAAGTACGATCTGCCTGTCCAAGATGGGCAGATCGTACTGTTTTTTTAATTACCTTACAACCATCGCAAGACAAAAGTCTTGCGATGGTTGTAAGGTGTATGGCCAGCTTTAGGCTTCATTCAGACAGCTGCTTTGGACTATACAACGCCCAGATCAATGTAATTCTGCTGCACGTATGCCCAGGGTTTGCAATCATCTGTAACAAATCATAGACAGGTGTACACTGTCAGCATGCAATCAAACAAAGTGATAACATGTGGTTAGGGGCAGATGACAGGACGTGTATACAGACAGTATCTGCTCATCTGTCTCTAACTGAAGGTAATCACTCCATGTACGCTTAAGGTGGCCATACAGTTTACAACCATCGCAAGACCTTAGTCTTGCGATGGTTGTAAAGTAATTTAAAAAAATGTACGATCTGCCTATCTTGGACAGGCAGATCGTATTGTCGATCATCGCAAGCCCGCCCCCCTGAGCGTGCGCACACTGGCCCATTCGGCATTTGTCTCCCGAGCACCGTTCAAACCAGCCGAAAATCATACGATTTTCGGCTGGTTTTCTAGCGTGCTCCCTAGACAAAAGACGTGCGGCCGTACAGTAAAAACGGTCGCACGTCTTCCATACACTTTGCGATTATCGTACGATCACGGGATTTCCAGCGATTATCGTGCGATAATCGCACAGTGTATGGGCACCTTTACATGTGGACAGCTGCAGAGCCTTCCAGCCTGGTATTGATTTGTACAGGGTGAGTGGCCGCAGCTGATCACAAACATATGGGCATACCCACCACAGAAATATGCTGATCTGGGGGCTGTACGGCCCAAGTGGCCATGTGAATGGAACCTAAAGCCATATGCACACATATGATTATCGGCCGAAAAGTCGATTGCATACAAAAATCGTACGATAATCGTAAGGTGTATGGGCACCTTAAAAGTGCTCAATCATTTCTGCAGAAGCCAACAGCAACCAATTAAAATTGACTTGACTTAAGCCAGACTAGGACAGAGTACATCCTGGTTGGTTGCTTAGAGTTACCACTTGTGTATCAGCATTTTTCATGAAAGAAAGCCAACAGCGTTTGCCCATCTTTAGCAGTCCCACTAGGTAGAACTAAACATACTAATACCCCCCCTCAAACAACCACAAAACTTTTTCTACTTCCATATTTTAATAGCGTGGGAAAGAGTTACTAATGTTGACTTATCTGTCCCTACTAGTGAGATCTGTCACTATGACCCCCTGTCACCAGGACAGGTACTGATCAGTAAAAAGACAGAAACAGGACAACAAAAATACACAGTCACAGACAGCAATAAAGTCAGACAAAAGAGATTTCCAATCACTTCCTGTCCCTCTGACACCCTTTCACAAAGACAGCAAGTGATGAGAAACCTTTCCAGTGGGGACACAACTATCTATAAAAAAAAAAAAAAAAGAAGTTTTCCATTTTATTCAGAACTTATTGTCAACATATTGTGAAACTGAACACCATAAGGAGAACGTTACCTAGCACTTTGCTTGGGTTGGTATCCAGCCTTAAGACTGCCATGGCTAATGGCAGGGTCAGTGTTATGTAATACTTTGAGTCCTGCAGCAAAGGAAATTCTGGAAGTATGAGGTAAATACGCATTGCTTCTACATCTGGCGGAGAGCTGGAAAGCTGTGGTATTAAAAAACTTTCAAAGCCCTTGTGAATCTATCAAAAAAAAAAAAAGAATACTTTGGTTATTTATCGAGTGATTACAGAAATAAAGACATTGTGAGGCAGGACAGAGGTGATAGTGTACTGTACTAACTTAGGACCACCAGCTACACCACATTCATGAAACTACAAGTGACGCCCTCACTCCTGTGATGGACTATAATCTCATGTTTAGTTTACTAAATTGTCTTGAGATTGTAGTCCATCACAGGAGTGAGCTTGGAGAGAAGGAAGGACAGTGTCAGCATGAATTCAGAGATGATTTGAGGATCTATAGCTGAGTGATATACAAATAAGTAACATTTTGTTAATAGTTAAGGTTTAACTCCTGATTTTAATGTCACTTTAAATATACAGCAATTAACAAATACACAAGACACCCATGTTGGCATAGAATTCAATTAAAAAAACAAAAAAAAAACAGTAAATTGTCTAGAAAATCTACATTCCATAAATAACTAAAACTGGCCATACACTGCTCTATTTTTTTGTTCAACCCACGGGCTGAACGAAAAAAATACTGCAGATTCCTCCATCAACGATATAAGCGTGTTGATCGAAGAATCCCCGCTGCTTCTTTTGAATTCTAAATATCCAAACAGAGCCGGGCAGCTCATTGGCGGCAGGCTCTGTTCATATAAAGATTTTCCAAACAGTTCCGTCGATCAGCTGATTGAGGGATGCAGACCGAAAGGGTGCCAACAGCAGCACCCACTGTAGGAATTTTGCCTGGTTCCTCAAGAACTGGGCAAAATTTGCACAGTGTATAGCCATCTTCATGCTTGGCTAGAAAAGTCTAAGAACACTGCTGCAAACAATTAACATTAGATTCAAATTACATGAATAAATGTGATTATGAAAATAAAGAAAAGGGGTGCTCTTCTGGAAATCGCTGACAAATTAGGTGAATTTGTTAGAGCGGCTGTCTCTAAATGGAGAGGCTCAGCCAAGGAGTCTGACACATTCTCTCAGCCTGAAAATGATTAAGTCTGCTTGGAAACAGCAAAACACCAATCACACGTAGAGAGAGGGGAGAAAAGAAGGGGGGAGAGAAACTTCCAGGGGGTCACTGCAGTTCCATGAGGGGATGCCATATATCCCCCCCCTCCCCCGACATCTTATCTGCAAGGCAAGGATCATTGCATGCCGAGGTCTGGCTTTGCGTTTGGCCCATACATCACTGAAGTCTCTGTCAGTACATTTTGTCGTGTGTGTTATTAAACCCATTCAAATGCAGCCATTTCTGAGATTCAGCAAAAGAAATCACAGTATTTCAGTGCATGCAGACAGATTCAGCAAACAATGCAGTCTGGCCAAGGCTCAAAGGTGGACTGTAGGTGATAGCACATGACCCTCACAGGAGAAGGCAAACATACTCACCTCATCAAGTACAAATGTGTACTGGGCCATAGCTGGCACTTTTAGCCTCAATACAGTATCTCTATAACAGGCTCATCTATACAACAGAAGTATGATTGGGCTTTACCTGCTCTAGTAGCCTCGAATGCTGGGTGTTCATCAGCTTCTCAAAGAGGAATTTAATGGACAACATGTCAATCCCTGGGATCCTGGGGCTTGTTTTAAAATGCTCATCATTTCTGTAGTGAAAAGTGTTTGTCAACATATCAAAAAGATTTTTTTTATTGCAGAGATGTATATCTTTGTGTAAACTTCAAAGTAAGCCTGTAAAAAGGCTGCTATAACTTATTACTCTCTTCTAAAATATTAGTTGTCATGCTGATTCAGTGACTTTGGTATGTTCTGTGTCACTGACCCACAAGAGGTGTGCTTATCAGAAGTTTTTACTTCACTCTGACTTTGGTTGCTGAACGCTTGTTCCAGGTCACTGATTCAGAAAGCACTGAAGCCAGAGATACAGAGATAAGCAACTAACATTGTTAAAAGGCTGTCAGCTTCTACCGACTTCAATATTTCTCTCAGTGTAATTTGTCTTTTACTTAGAAGACTTAATATCCTGCATGTGAACATAAATATATACACATTATACATATATATATATATACATACATGCACACACACACGTTCAAGAAACGTTAATGTTGTTAAAAATAGTATTTGTTTTTGTACTCGCCATAAAATCCTTTTCAGTGAAAGACACCGCAGAGAGGTTCAGATCTTGACCGGTGGGCTATAATGCCACCTTCAAGATCTGAAAATCTCCACTATGTCCTATGAACGAAAGAGAAAATATGATTTCTTTGTACTCACTGTAAAATCCTCTTTTCTGCATTTATTGAAGGGCACAGCGGAAATCTTCAGATCTTGAAGGTGGCGTACAACCCAACAGTCAAGATCTGAAGATCTCTGCTGTGTCTTTCAATGAATGAAAGAGAAAGTGTGATGCCAAATGTTTTGACTCGTACTGCATTTTTGAAGGGTCATATTACCCAGCCTGAATGGGAGAAAACAGGACAATGTACCTAACAGTAGCATAGGGGCTAGCACTTCTGCCTTGCAGCACTGGGGGATCCAGTTCAGATCCTGGCCAGAACACTATCTGCATGAAGTTTGCATGTTCTCCCTGTGCTTGTGTGTGTTTCCTCCCACACTCCAAAGACATGCTGGTAGGTTAATTTGCTCTCGTCTAAACTGTCCCTAGTATGTGTATGCATATGAGATAGGGACCTTAGATTGTAAGCTCCCTAAGGACAGGGACTAATGTGAATGTATAATTTGTAAATTGCTGTGTAAATTGTTGGCGCCATTTTCCCAACCCAATGCAATACATTTGTGGAACAGTCCTAAGGGCAATGAGGCTTATGTATGAGGTGCCACCATGCACATTTTTGTGGCCCATAGCAACCGGTAAGAATTTCATTTTCAACCTAAAATGTGAAAATGATTGTTGGGATCTGATTCCACAATCTATGTTTTCTAGAATGCATTATTAAAAACTCGATTTAAACCTGTGTTGAAGATGCAAGGCTGTGATTTTAGTACTTACTTCTTTTCCAGGAAACTTCCATTCCAGCAGGCTGAGGAAGAAAGTGTTTGTACTATGCCACTGTAAAATGGAAAACACAAAAGAGACTCTAAAATAACATGTGTACTGAACAATTCTACATCATGCTTTTTAGTATTATATTAAATCAGCAGAGATATGCAATAATCCAAAAAGCAACACAAATTGTGTGAAGGGGGGAAAACAAAAAAAAAAACCCCACTACAACTGCAAGAAGATCCCATCCTCTGAAGGCTGCACTAGCAGTACATGTAACCCACTCTTATTGCCTATTTATCAGGGCATAAATATCAACACAGCGCTTATATATAGTGATATCCAGCCCTAGATCATCCACCCATTCCTATGTTACCAGATAGCCATAACAGTACACCAACAGGCACCCACACTTTCAATTACACACAAATACCGAACAGATTCAGTGCTCACCGGAAACATCAGACCCGCATTTCTGAGGGTCGCTTGTAAAAGTTTATGTTACAGCCTCCGGATCATCAGCTCCCCAGGTAATTGCCTATAGCAGTGGTAGGCAAACTTCAGCCCCCCAGCTGTAGTGAATCCCATCATGCATCTGCCTCGGAAAGTCATATCTCTGGCTGTCAAAGTCTTGCAATGCCTCATGGGATATGTTGTTTCACCACAGCAGGAGATGCTTAAGTTTGCTTACCCCTGGCATATAACAACAGCAATCATGCTTTGCTGTTCCTCTTCCTCCTAGCTCTTTGATCACTCCCGAGCTTCACAGTAGCACAAATCAACAGGATTACAGCTTCAGTCCACCTGGGACTTTCCATCATGTTGGACATGAACTTGTCACACAGTCATGGAGTTTAAAACAAAAATAAAACCAGCATAGTGTACCACAAAGTAAAACCAGTTACAAATGCCAACTCTAGCAAGCCTGACATGTTTTGTTCATTGACTTCATTAGAGAAGAGGTGAAATCCCAGGTGAACTGAAGCTGTAATCTTGTTTGAATGGTGCCGCTATAAAGCTTGAAAGCTAGGAGAAGGGACAGCACAGGGTGATTGCCTGAGGAACCAATAATCAGCAGGCGTTTATAGACCTTCAGAAATGCGGTCTGACATTTATGGAAAGTTCTAAATCTGATGGGTATTTGCGTGTAATTGAAAGAGTAACTGTTTGTCTACTATTAACTCTATTACTTAAAGCCCATTTCCACCTTTGCAGAGGTATTTTTACAATAACATATGCCAGCAGTGTACACGTAGCAGGCATATTCAGTTGCTGTATATGAACAAAGAAACATACTTTCTGTTGTCCGCTTTATCTTCTCATGGCTCCTTTTGAAATGGCCACCTCTGTGCTTTGCAAGCAGTCTGTGTAAATTAACACACTCCTCTGAGCTCTCTCCCCTTATTCATTAGTATTCATATTGGCAACCCCCCGGACAGTGTATTGTGACCTAAAAAGACAGAGTCTCTGTGCTCTGCAAGCAGTCTGTGTAAATTGGCACTCTCTCTTCAAGCTCTCTCCCCTACTCATTAGTATTCATAGTGTCACCCCCTTGGACAGTGTATTGTGACCTGGAAAGGCAGAGCTGGTGTGCAATGATCTTGTTACAGTGACTTACAGGGAGGGCTCAGCCGCTTTACAATCCAACCCCAGTGTTAGGCTGAGTTTCAATTTGTAGGACCCAGACCCACTAAAAAGTCCATTAAAAAAATGAAGAAAGCCTGCAATGCGAGTCATAAAAATGTGCACACATACTGTATACCTCATCACTGCACCTCTACATTGCCACTATAAATGCTAATAACTTACAAAAGGTGTAAATGGACTTTAAATATATACTAAAAAGGGAAAACATGTTGTTAGTAGCCAAATTATTTAAATTTGGCCGATAACCTTCTTAACCACTTCCAGCGGGTTCACGTAAATATACGTCCTCCGCTGGAAGTGGTTATACCAAGAGCACGGCTGCTGCTGCGGTAGGCAACCTTGGCACTCTAGTTGTGGTGAAACTACAAATCCCATGAGCCACTGCAAGACGTTGACAGCCACAGACATGACTTTAAGAGGCAGATGCATGATGGGATGTAGTTTTGGCATAGCTGGAGTACTGCGGTCCCCTACCCCTGCTCCAGAGCATTCAAAATAAGAGTGTCACTGTAATTCTGGGACATTAGCATTCTTTAAGCCTAGAACAGGCTAACCAAGAGGATAAATGGTTTACTTCCTGAGCTCAGCCTGTATATAAAATTCAGTATAAGGGTGCCCTGTCTACATAGCAGATCCGTCAATAGTCATCTATTGCCTATGGGTATGTTCAACATGCTGTTTAGAAGAATGAAAAGCATTTTTACTGAAAGACGTACTTCATGGTGTTGGAATTACTATTTTCCACGACTTTCTGCCTCCAGTCATCGATCGTTTCATCATTGATGCGGCTGGTGTAATTTTTGTTCTGGCAAGAGCGAAAGTCCTCAACAGGCTCGGGCTTCTAAAAGACAATACAGAAAACCTAATAATGCCAAGCTGCTTGGGCTAGAAACTACTGACAATAAAGAGGTTTTCCCAATAACTGGAATATCTGTAGGTTTGCTCCTCCACAACCTGACTGGTGTTGATCTCTCTGATCAAATTCCCCACTGATCAGTTGAATGAACAAAGCTACAGAGCAGATGTGAGGCTAACACCACTCCCCGCAATTCTCTCCCTATAAGGTCTGTCTTGCTGATTCATAAATGCAAACACCTCTCGCCACTTTTAATAGCCTGTAATGTAATGCTGTTGAAAGGAGAATTATGGGGAGAGTGAAATACACTCATCCCCATAATTAGAGCTGACGTGCGACATTGCAGCTGTCACATGTTGGCTCTAGAGATGGAGAGCTGAGTGATCACAAACCGCTGGTCACTCACTTCCCTATCTTCTCCCTGTAGAGAGTAGTCACTGTCAGTCACTGCTACCTGCGCTGACAAGACCGGGACACACAGAAACCTGGCAGAGACCCTACCCTTTCTTACTCTGTCCAAAATAAAATATTTTGGTCATAATTTGGTTTTGAATCCCAAAAAGGAGAATATAAATGTATTTTATTTCTGGTACTATAGAGCAAAATAACAAAAATGGACAAATTTGAATGTCAAGGTTCTCTAAAATAGGATTGAATTAATACATATCTATACAAACGGATTTATTTATTATGAAACTGTACTAAAAGACTTGCATTAAAATGTATGTATAGCCAAAACATTTTCAGTTTATGATGAACTGTGAATGGAGTAGAACCCCTGTCAGGTTCAACTGCTGTCTGTGTACCTGCAGGGGAGAATCAATCTTCTATATTACTTCCTGGTAACCTTAGATAGTGAGACAGAAAGTCAGGGGAAATCCAAAATTTAGTTGTGTATACAGGACAGGAAATGAAGGGAATTGTCCCCAATGGGGCAATGACAGCAAAAGATAAACTCGCAGGGGGGTTTAACACTTTCCAAAGTCTATCCAAAACGTAAAGCAGAACTCCGGGCAAATCAAATCTTAACCCTTGCAGTGGGGCTACCATGGCACTGCATGCGTTTAGTGCTCGTTTTGTCTAGGGAGCTAAAATAAAGTTATGCTCACCCAAACTACGATCTCAGCTTGCTCTTAGACGGGTCCCTTCTGCCTCGCTCCAGCAGTGAAAGGTCTGTGAGCCATCACATCCAATACGCTACATAGAACAGAAGGATGCAGAGGGACATTACACCGCTGGAGCGGAGGAGGAGACAGGCTGGAGGGAGCACTGTAAGTGCAAGCCAGGATTACGGCTCGGGTGAGTAGAATGTTGTTATTTTAGCTCCCTAGACAAAACAAGCAGGTAGCTCCACTGCTATAAAAAAGCCTTGGCTATACATACATTTTAATGTCAATGAACCACAAAAAAAATCTGAATTATTGCAATGTTATCACTTCTCTTTGCATAAAGTTATTAAACTAAACCTAAAATGTGTTACAGATAGGGAAGATATGATTATGTTAGTTTCTCATGACTCACATCTGGCTTTGAGCAGCGTACAAATGTTTTGTCCCATCCACAGAAAATGTGCTTGATAATATTGTATGAAGATTGATCTGTAAAAAATAGATAAACACTTATGTTAACAGCAGATGGATAAAAAAAAAACCTGGAAACTATAATAAATAGTTTAAAGCCTTGGTTCTCAACTGGTGGGATGTGACTCAAAAGTGGGTCGCGACCCCGTGTTCAGTGGATCGCTGCATGCCTTCCACTCTTCTAGGTGAGAGGCTCCTCTGTCTTCCCCTAGCGCAGCACTGTCAGTTCTCGTGACAAGCAGACATTCAATATATGCAGCCCGGTGCCGAGTGTCAGCTTGAGGTGGGATTTGATGGGGCTATGGCCGCAAGGGAGCTCCATCCATATGTGCATTGCTTAGGCTGGGTTCACACCTAGGCGTATTGAATATGCGCGTTTGTCGCGCGTTTCGTGTCGCTCGCTTTTACCGCGATTCGCGGTAAAGAAAAGCACGACAAATGCGCGTTTCCGAGGGCTACTTGGCTGAGTACAGAAGTACATGTACTTTTTTGGGCGTAGGCCGTTTTGTAGCGCGTTCAGACGGCCTGTAATACGCCCAGGTGTGAACCATACCCATAGGAAACAATGGGATTTCGGTGTTTGAGCGTTTTGCAGAGCGTTCGAACGCGCTACAAAACGCCCAGGTGTGAACCAGGCCTTATGCTTACAGCTCCCTCACGCCCTGTAGAGGTGCCTGGAGCAGAGTGTCGTCACATTCTGGCCCCCGTCACCTCAACAGGGCACACAAGGGAGCTGTACAAACAATGCACATATGGATGGAGGTCCATCACAGCACAGCATCCCACACTGGACCCCAGGCTGAGGATCCACTCCAGTTTGCGTAAGTTAGGGAGACTGGGTGGATCTTAAAATAAGAAAAAAAACATTTACATTTTTTTTGGAGTGTGTATATGTTTGTGTGTGAGTATGTCTGGAAGTGTGTGAGATTGTGTCTGTGGTTGTGTGTGTCTGTCAGTGTTATTGAGGGCCTGTTCACACTAGTACAGTGCGGTAATTGCGCAGTCCCATGTGATTAACGCACTGTACCACGCAATCACACCTAAAGCACATTCGGTGTGGGAGGTGTGTTGCATTGGAGGTGTGTTGCATTGCCATTCGTTTGAATGACACCCGAAACGCACTTCCCACCCACAGTTCTATTGCCCGCACCGGAATACTCAGCTTAGGTCAGGAATGCAAAGGATATGTGTATACTGGAATGGGAAGAAATATTCATGTGTATGTTGCTATGCATTTATCAAAAGTGGACTTATTGTATTCATACATTGAATACTATATTAATTACAAATAAATGGACGGACAACAATATCTGGAATATAACATATTTCCAGTTTATTCATAATTACAACTATTGGTTGTGACATGTACAGCTTCTCTGCACAGTTTATATAGACCAGTGTAAACCAAATGTAAACCAGGTTGTATCACACTTTGTACCTGATACCACTTTGTACCATTTTGATATGATCAGAGCAACCAGATCACAGGGCTGCCTAGGTTTTTAAATGATAAAAATCCTGGTTAATCTTATCTGCAGAAAATCTGCAGATATAAATTTATAGCCACAAAAAATAATTTATTAATAAGAAAAAAAAAATAGTAAAGCTTTGTGGACCACTATGTACTCCTCGAATGGTTAAAAAGACAACAAATCTGATCTGGTCTGATCTGAACAGTAGTTTGTTATTTAGTTTTGGGCTGACACAGCAACCAGTCAAGTTCAAGTCAGCTCTGAGCAAAGACAACACAGCACTTGCTTCAAAAACCAATTGATCTTACTGCCCATCAAAAGGAAGTTTTCATGTTTTAGATGAAAGTGGAAAACCCTTTTAATAACTGTCACTATTCATCTTCCCTTACTGAACTCCTTTTCCCACATGTATCAAGCTGTTACTACTTACCGACTGTGGGTGGAAGTTTAATGCAGTGCGTGGTCCGCTTCCCTATAACCACAGTAGGGCAGATGACATTATTTGTGTGCCCGGTGCCAAGCTGACCATGTTCTCCACATCCAAATGCATAGAGGAGTCCAGAAGAAGGCACATAGGCAATGGTGTGCTGTCTGCAGGTATAAAAAGCATATATAAATTAGGCATATATATAACAATTGTCCATTTACCTAGAATAGGTTGTTCTTGATGATATATTAATTTAGAGTACTATTCTTAACAGAGAAACAATAGGCAATGTGATGACTAACATGTGTACAATTCTAATACTTGGTTACACTAAGAAGTGTATTTATAAACCATTTGCACAGCGTACAGCTCTGCAAACGAGATTTGTAAGTTATTATGGCCACTAGATGGAGCTGAAGATGCTCCTTGGCTCCATCTAGTGGCCATAATACACAGTGAACACTTCTGCTATCCATGGGGTCAACCGCCATATCTAACCACCAAACACATATATAAACATTTTGTACATCTATTTACTGACGCACTACTAGCCAGTCTGTCAATTTTTTTAAGGTTGATAGTTTGTCTCGGTTGTGCTGGGGTTGAGAAAATATTTCCCCACTGGTGTCCTGGACAGGATCAAACCCTGATATACTCTACCTGGTGTGGAAATAGAAATTGTGGGTGTAGCTGATGTTTAACTGACATTTTTTTTTCCACTAGGCAGCACAGGAATCTGATATCACTAAACAGTTATAGTGACATTAAAATCAAAAAAAATGTTTCCCTTTCCCCAATGTTAATTTCAGCACTTACCTTGATTGATGTCTCTTAATCCGATCTTCCTCTTCTTTCCTGATGTTTTCATCTGTTCCTCCAGCGGTGCTGCGGGTCTCCGATCCAGCGCTGACTCCTCTGTCCTTGCTGGCACTTCCGGTACCACGGTGTCTGCATGCGGGTGCACGCGTCCATAGACTTACCTTGTGTCTCTCCTCGTCTCCCGGCCGAAAATCCGAACTGCGCATGCGCCCGCCCCAAGATGCTTTGCGGCCGCCCGAGCAGTTTCTGATTTTCGGGCAGGAGCGTGCGGCGAAGATGGGGTAAGTTTAAACCGCTGTTAAAGCGGGTTTTAAAAAAAAACCATATGCTTGCTAGTAGTAGATATATGCAAAAAAAGCCGGAGGGTTTAATAACCCTTTAACCTCCCAAAGTTGTTGATAATTCAGATTACTAAAAAGTTACTGCGACATATGCATCTATTGTATTAGCTGTATGATTTGAAAAGAATGCCATTGTTCTCAGCCTTGAGAAGTGAACGGGAGATGCCAGGAGTTGTAAATAGCTTTTGACATGTGAATTATCATTTTCTCAGAAATCTCATTTACTGTCATTGGAAAATGTGTGGCGGTCTAAGAAATCAAATTTTTTTTTAAACTATAAACTGTGCTCTTGTGAACTTCATTTTAAAATGACCTGTTTGAGGCCCCACTAGCAAAGTAAAACTAAAGAGAGGGGCACATAAGGAGTTTTTCTGGCTAATAAAAAGAATAGCAGGCACCTTAACCTCTGCGTCCGGAACAATTTTTTCATTTTTGCACACCTGGTAAAATTAGACTTTTTGGCTATAAAACTGTTTAAAACCCTCAAACAATTATACATTTTTTGAAGCAGAGGCCCAGTAGAATAAATGAAATGCTAGTTACAATTGTTTTAAGTTGCACAATATTTAAACACATGTTTAGCAAATTGATATAGGAAAAATTTAATAAAAAATAATTTAAGAATATAAACAGTAAAATATAAAAGATGAGGTTGTGCCGGGTAAATAGATACAAAATATGTAATGTTA